CCCCCCCCCCCCCCCCCCCCTTCCCCCACCTTATGTGAAGGTCTGGATCCACCACTGAATATCAATTACGTCCTTGTCCTTGTGTATATGCAGAATTGCAAGAGAGCTCAATCTCTCGTCTGTTATGGTCCTTCGTAGAGGAGTTTGTAGTCTCTTCATACCGCAAAAGCTACGCTCAGGTCTGCACAGGATAAGTCAACAAAGTTATGAGAGCTACATTATACTCCGGGATAGAATAGTAGAGTTGGCTTGGTCAAACGTCTCAACCAAGGTCTGTGGCTTCAAATTCGGCTCCATTAAACTCCACTTAACCAGTAAAAAGATAAAGGAAATCCTAACACAAAAACGCCAATATAATTGAAAATATATATCCCAATTTAATGATAACAATGGGCTCAGGAGATAAAAAAAAACTATATGCAGATTTCAGCTGTATGCATAAGCATATCTGCGTACATGCACGCTACATTCCTGGTTGTAGAAATAGCTGATAGCTGGTTTCTGAGCCAAGCTTTATACGGGTAACATTTTGTTGTTGACAAAGAACCGCCGAAGCAAATTTTTTGTCTACTTTTGAAGGAAACGTGGATTGGCTTTAATCATAATATAGTCTGACAACTTTTACATAGAAGGCCAGTCCTGTGTCTTAATATTTCGACCCCCCTCACATTTTATGCATTTTGAAAATAAGTGACCCCCTCAAAATCAAGCCTCTTAGAAAATTGTACCCCCCACCAACCCCCGCCACCCCCGAGACGTAATAAACGATCGGCCCCTTAAAGCGCGAAGTCACCGGTTAATATTGGTCCAAAGAGGAACGAACTAGGGGTAATGTTACCCACTTCATTAATAAACAAGCATATGAAATTATTTTTCATCACGGGAAACAAAACACTTCTGATCTACATCCAAGTCATGATATGTAACAATGCTCGGTGCTCGGTGCTCAGTCAGGCCATAGGATCGACGTAGAACATGTTAACTCATTATGAAATTTTTAGAAATAGCCTTTTTTTGGCCTTTTCAGAAGGCGCTAAAATTGCCAGAGAAAGGAGGCATTTATCATTTTCCTCCGACTGACTTTTCATGTGCCGAACCTAATGCATAAATTACTATTGATAATTTATTTTCACTGGTAAACGTTGTAGATCATGTACATTTTGAAAATGAACTGACTCCAACTAATTAAGTTCGACTAATTAATAGGGTTGACAGGCTATTAGTCCTCTTCTTTCCCATTCGCCCTCAGTGAAAGATCCTTTTAAACATTTTTAATGCATTGTGTCATAAATCTTAAATAAAGCATTGCGACTTTTATGGAATTTCCATTGGCAGAACCACATCCATTGGATTTCCAAGTAGAACTAAATCTTTGTGTCATTGCCCTTTACTTTCTTTTGTTATTTAGAATGTCGAGAGGCTTTCGGTATGGAAAAAGGAGCGATCTCCGACGGGCACATTAGTGCTTCGTCACAGCTTGATGCCAACCACGAAGCCAGCCAGGGTAGACTGAATTTGAAAGGATCGTGGTCAGCTTATGCTAATGACGCTGAGCAATGGCTACAAATTGATTTAGGTAGCAATCCTGTCACTATCACACGGGTGGAAACGCAGGGAATTAATTTCCAGAGCCAGTGGGTAATAAATTACACCATGAAATATAGCGACGACGGTCTGAATTTCCAGTTGTACAAACAACAGGGACAAAGTGAACACAAGGTTAGACACCCGGGCACTGCAGACATTTATATTGCGCGGAGTTTGTTAATTTTTTTAATGAAGTGATTGTTTCTTGTCAAAAAAAAAATTAGTAGATACAGCAAATAGTTGACCCGGCAAGGAAACAAATAAGTTCAGTAATCTGTTTCACTGAATGTAACCCTTAAACCCAAAATAGTTATTATCAAAGTAATCGTCTTGTAAGTTTTGAGATCTTATACATCGGTAGCCTGAATTTCATCCGATTGCTTCGAGACGTTTTCTCCTCTCAGCAACTTCTGAATCGACCAGCCGTTAATGCCGTCCAGTGACGTCACTATGCTACCCGAAAACCGGGTAGTGATTTTGATTGATTGATTGTCTAAACATTCGCATAATTTATGCATAATTATGAGAAATTTTAGCGAGATTGTCGCTTAATCCGCAGCGGATCGCATTGATGGAACGCTTGCTTGGAGTTCAAGCATTTCGATAATCTTTATCCGTTGTGAGCGATTCATTCAACCAAAATTCCGACCGGGAAAAGTGGTCCAACTCAAAAGGTGGACCAGTTTCTCGAAACTTTTCCGGCTGGACCAAACCGATCCATTGAGTTTTGGACCCAAATTTCCAGAAATTTCGGTTGAATGGATCGCTCCCGTAAACAGCAAAATTGCCCTGGCTTGTCTTCGAAACTAAATTGCTAAATTGAACTGCGAATGAAGAATCATTGCGGAGAGTCGGCAGGTTTTTCGTTTAAAATCGCTTTGTGGTTTCGGCAATGATGTTGTTTATGCGAAGTTTCTGAGAACAATGTCATGTTGTCATTCGACCTTCTTGCTATTTTCACCGTCAAGTGTAATGATTCTGTTAGCTTTTCTTTCTTGTTTCCTTGTTTTCTTTTTTATTCGTTAAGGACCAAATAGCTTCTTTTCAATTAAAGGAAATTGCTGTGTTTTTAAACTAAGTGTTCCGTGTGTGTATATATTTCATTGCGTGACTGCGACCGAGTTTGAATTACAACTGGTTCAGAGTACTGCATGCAGTTGATAGTTTGAACGTTAAACATGAATTACCATCGAAAAAAGTAAAGCAATTCTGTCAGCTGTGTTCTGTATCATGTAGACATTTCCAAAAGATATTTCTTGGTTTGCCACTTGAAAATCGTGTTTTACTTTTTGCCTGAATTACAACAAAGGAGTAGTGACGATGTCCATGGATTACTAGATAGTTACTGAGCAAAATCCGAAAACGAGATTTCCTTAAAAAGAAGGCAATCTCCTCCAATAACCCGGCTATATGGGATCAATTTAGGTGTGCAAGAAATCAGGCAAATAACGCAATTAAACTCGCAAAAAAACTCTATGTTTCTGACAACCTGGAAGCCAACAAAGGTAATTTGCGCAAAACATGGAATGTTATCAACGAGCTAACTTCACGTAACAGGGGTAAGTCCACGAATATTTTGGAGATCAAGGTAGATGATAAAATTGCAAGTAACCCTATGGACATTGCGGAAACTATTAACGATCACTTTACAAACGTTGCGTAAGTATTAGCACAAGATATTCCTGTGGTCGATGTTAATCCTGAGTCTTATTTAAAGCGCACTGATCATTCGTTTTGTCTGCAAATTCCGAGTGTTGATATTGTTTCTAACTGAAAATTGATGAAAAGAAAGCCACCGGTCTTGATATGATTCCGAGTAAATTGTTGAAAATGGCTGCTAATATCGTCGCACCCTCTCTTACCTCAATATTCTCAAAGTCTATTCTCACTGGGATATATCCAAACGATTGGAAAACAGCCAAAGTGACTC